AATTAGTAGTGATTCTATTCTTTTTTTCGAAATGTTTATTGGGTTTCAGAAATAATTTTACCTCCGATTTTAGTGAAAGTTTTAAACATTTATCTTAGATTTTTAATATTGTAGTATATATGGTCGGATTATACACACTCTAAACACCCTGAAGAAGTGATTCAAAGAAATAAATGACTGCTTAAGAGTACATAATGATGATTAATTGAGATGACTAGTTGTACATCAATCGTATCAACCACTACTGCTCCCTAGCCAGATTGAAGTCCTACCTCTTCTAACTGTGTAATTTAAAAGTAATGAATTTAGTCTATGGTGTTACTAGTTTGTTCATGTAGCTAGCCAGAAATCGTGTTGTTCAGACTAATGTGGGTCCCTGAGCTGGGTCGAACCGTATAAACTGCTGATAAGCCCGGTCCAAAACAAGCGAAACTATCATCTGGTGTTTAGGTCACCTAGATCTGGCTGGCTAGCAAACACTACTGGTCGATATGAATGGTATACAACTACTCATCACGATAAATCAATGGTATATAGTCTTACAAATTTATCTTTACTTTCTTGATAACCATTTAGGGCATCATAAAGCAGATCAAATACTGTGAATTTGAAAGAGGTGACCTCTGTGGTATGACTAGATTCAGTAGTTTTGTGAACACACAATACTAAATGACGAAGGCGACTGTAAATCATTTCATCCTCAATCAATTAAGTATATAATACAATGGGAAAGTGTAGTTCATTAGTAATTTTAAATAATAGAATAGGAAAGGAATATTTAAGTGTTCAGTTACTTTTTTTCACAGAATAAATAATCAACTCTACAGTTGAAAATATTTTCATATAGCAAAGTTATATTACTTTAGGTCACACGTGATAATAAATACTACTAACTACAGTATGTGTGAAACTAGATCAAATGAAAGGCCTATTTAAGAAACTTTTTTATTTATTTTCAAGTTACTAATATAAACAATGATATATTTCGACAGAATATTCTTAAATAAATGTTAATAAGACAGAATATATTTACTGTTACACTATTCAGTTATGTAGCAATTTTAGGGTAAGGTTATCGCCTTATCGCAAATCAAATTTGCCACGTCTGTATAAGTAGAGCTCAGGCGGTCAATGAAAACTTGAGTTTTCTAAGGTAGTTGATTTTGTATCAACCTTTTCACGTGGTTAAAGTGTCTGTTGTAAAGTTTGCTATACTTTGCGTGGAAGTACCTTGCCATAGCCTTTATCTTCACTCAGTAATTTTATTTTTCTAAATATAAAAAATTCACTTTTGTTTATGTGAAAAGGGTGAAGTTAAACTATCATAGCTGAAGTCAGAGTTTGTCAAAAGTTGACCTTCAAGAACCAATCTGGTTTAGGAAACTCTAGGAAAGGTTATTTCAAATCAAATCATGACTGTCTTTGTTGATTTGGTGGAGGTAGGTAGAGTGTTCTATTTATTCCTTAGGTACCTTTTTCTGTAAGTATATACTGTTAGATAGGGTTAAGACTCGGAAAGGTATATCATGTACTGATCAAATTGCAGCTCTGCACATTGCCAACGTGAAATCGGTTTGGAAGTCCTTTGTACTCCGCAGATTAAAGGACGAGATTCGGATTTTCAACACAAATATCAGGTCGGTCCTTCTATACGTGTGAGAAACGTGCACTGCCTGTCAGCCACGATAAGGATTTCCAACAGGTAGCAGACTTTCATCAACAGCTGCTGTCAATGGAAATTAGCCCTAAGTTCCTATTGTAACGTAGACGCCTTGAACCGACAAAGACTATGTATTTGTTTCAACTTTCAAGTCCAAAACACCAGTATTTCTTGAACGAATTTTTATTGTTTGGCAATTAAAGCAAGACAAAATACAAAGTCTACAAACAAATGTTTAGTACGAATGAAGTTATAAAGTACTTTTATTCGTGTTCCTTCCGCCTTTCTCCAACTTGCACGCGATCGGACCATTCGCGCCTTCGAGTTGCCCACCAATGGCTGCCAGTTTCAATAAACAAACGTTCAATGTTCACGTCCATTGACAGCTGCTTTCACTCTATACTGAATACCAAATGGCTATCCAGAAAGAATAAGTAACAAGAAACTGTGGCTAGGAACAAACCAACCAAGAACCGATCTCTCAAAAAATATGTAGGAGAAAATGGAGGTCGATAGGACATTCATTGAGGAGGCTTTCGAATGACATCACGTGCAATGCTGACCATCACTCGAATGAAATCCCAATGGGAGGCGACGGGTGGGTCATCAGTGCGAGAGTGACATGGAGGAGATCGTGTGAGGAGGAGATGTGAGACTATGGGCAATCGTGGAGTCAGCCAGCTGAAGAGGACAGCGGAAAATATAAGAGCTGAGTCCCTATCTTCCCCTTGGAACTCAAGGGAATAATAATAAATGAATAGCACTGCGTATGTATGTCTTAGTCCACCTCATATTTACATCATGAATTGATAATTACTAATCTAACGGAAAAATGAATGCCATAAAACATGAAAACAGGAAATAACTAATAAATGCCATGATATAATTGAGATGATGACAGCATCGAACTCACGTGAACTGTTTGAACTGTCTCTAAATCCAACTACCCTCGGTATTTAACCATACACTGCTTCTGTCAGGTAGACTCTAATCAGATATAGTGCACTTTTCTAAAAATGAGAGCAACAGTCATTTCCCTTATCGATACGTATCACGGCCAAATTAAAGAATAGCGATTCACGAGTGTGGACGCACCAATGACCTTGAGCTCACTTTATTCATTGGATAACGGGACCTACCATTATCATAGCGCCACTCTGAACTCTATGCGCTATCTGAGGTGAAAATTCCATCCCGATTCCATCTGTAAATACAGATTGCATAATAGGCTGATAGCACGTTCGAGTTAAGATTAGGATTATGACTAGGGTCAGGGTGAGGGTTATGCTTAGCGCGTGGGTATTTTATGTTTATTATCTGTAATTTTCTGGTAAATAACTTCATGGTGTTCATATTAGTTTTCTGTATTTTTCAAACAAATAAGCGGCTTGTTCATGTAAAAAAACGCTGGTTTTTTTTAATTGTAGCCTCAAAGTCACACTCACATTCGCATTGCTTAAATTTCTATTGTTTAACTTTGTTGGTATCTTTCCTCCGCTTCATTATCCATGCAATTTATGTGAATCTAATTTCGACAAATATACAAAAAGAAATGAAGATGGAGTGGACACAAAGTGGAGAGAAATTCAAGTAACATCTCACTCTAGGTAGGCCCCTTAGTTGAACCCGAATAAGAAGCGTTAGGTTTGACACGAAGTAGATCAAATGAATGAGAAGTGAAAGCCTGTGGATAGTTGTGCAGCCAGTTAGAAACAATGACAGAAACAGACTGCCATGATGATATTCCACACGGAACATTTTGGACGAATAATTATTACATAAATCCTGCTTTTATCCTTATACAGCCTTGAGATGAATCATGCGTAGACATGTAGAGAATGTGCTCCAACCATTTTATTATACCACTGACTGATTTATTAATGGTATCTGAAAACTGTCGTCAAAATACTCACATTGTTCAATGATAACCGTGTTCAGTAAACTAAATTAGGCGGCTATATATGAAAGCATTCCTTATCTCTATAAATTACATTGATTTAAACACTCAACAACTATGACATCTATTTGTGTACAGGTTTACATATTTGCTCAGTTAGTCGGGTTTATTTTTTTTCCTCTTCTTTTAAAGTTTAACGCAAATCATAAATCGATATTGTTTTTACAGTTTACCAGAAGCCTTTCGGCAACATAAAATCAGACTAGTTTCTTTTTTCTATTCACAAAAAGTATCTTTTTTATATCAAAGCGGTTTTGTAAATGTAATGTTTCCTACGGTTAAAATTTTTAAAATAGCTGTTTAATGTTTTGCTTTTATAAAATTCACTGCCTTAGTCATTTCTAGCAAATGTATCACGTGACTTTAGTTTGGATAATTATGTTTTTTTTTCAAGAGTTGATTTGTAAGGATTAGATTTGTTAATACGAGTTTGACCACTGATTGATATCATTTGGAGAACCACTGAAAACCAGCAGGGAGTACTGGACAGCCAGCTGTTTTGTCCTAGTTTGGGAATCATTGACAGTACGCAACCACCGCCAGTGTTAGAACCCAGGACCTTCCGGGTACAAGCCAGGCGAGCTCGTAGACCATTAACCCACTGGGACCCGATCCAATGGTCCATGAATTCCTATTCAGGGAGGGATGTCCTGAATAGTGCGGTACACCAGGCTGAATGTGGGGACAAATACTCGCCGATAAAATTCGTTAGTGGTCGCGCCACATCGTGAATTGGCCGAAGTTGGAATTCACGGACTATTGGATTGAGTTCCAGTGATTTAATGGTCTACGAGCTCACTTCGTTTGTAGCCAGAAGGTCCTGAGTTTGAAAGCTGACAGTGGGTGCTTACCGATGAAGAGTCCCAAACTAGGACGAGACAGTTGTGCAGCACTCTAGGCAGGTTTTCCAATGGTTCTGTGATCGATGTCAGTTCATAATGAAATCCTGGGATAAAAATGTTCAACAAATTAATTATCATGGGAAATAAGATAAGATTTCATTTCTGTCTTACTGTTTTGTTTAAAAACAAAACTCAATGCTTACTATATATTGTTGATTAACAGTCACTTATATTTCTATACAATTAACAATAAGCTACACCTATTACGTGAGAACTACTGATTACCAAAATCTTAGCAGGTGAAATGTGGTTAGAACCCGGTACTCAGTGTCTGGAAGTAGAGAGTCTAGATCAACTAGTCACAGTTCCCAACTGTTTTTTTATTTTGTAGATTATTCCAAGAGATAAGTAAAACAATTTCACGTATCTCTTCCAAAAAACTGACAACTTTAGTGATTAATATAAAAATGTGCTAACCCTCCGTAGTATACAGACATTTCAACACATTTTTTGTTTTGTTTTGTTTTCTTATTCCCTTTAGTCAATCGAGTCATTATGTGATATAGTGAGTCATTATGAAACATGTACAGAATTATGTTTAGCTCGTAATCCTCACGTTACGCCTAATGGTTGGCGACTAGCAGCTATTCTGTTTCGACGGGTAAGTGGCTATTACGAACATTAATGTGATTATAATAATTACTGTTACCACTATTGTTATTATTATTCGATGAATTCATAAACAGATCATGGATAGTATTTTTAGTCTTCAGTTGCTTGTAAATACCTACTGAAGAATCCTTTCTGACTGTTGTTTAACTTCCTTATCAAGTATTAAATTTGCAGAGATTTAATTGTTCACCATGTTTGATCATGAGATGACAGCTTTTCATATGGAAACATATATCTGAAACTGTGATAAAAACCATAGAGTATTCAAAATGTATTCTGAAAACATTGTTAGCCCTGTTAACTGAATACAATTCCGCTTTTTCTCATAATATATGTATTATTCACTTAATAATTCCCATTGTGATATTAAGAACACAATATTCAACGAAGAGACTCTTTTCAACGAATTTATTTTCAAGATGTACAATCGTATATATATGGTTTTTAAGAAATTAGATCCGGTGAGGGAATTAGATCAAAGGTGTGAATACATGAAATTAAAATAGTAGTACGAAATGCACTTAAAGTATTTGCGATTATAATCATAGATAAATGTCGTCAAATTACCTTCACCAGCCGCAAGTTGTTCTCCATCTCTGTAAAAGATAATCTCTCCCGTCTGACCGCTTCCACATGCATCTATTAGTTCATCTGCTCTTGCGGAGTAAAGTACATTAGCCGTAGCCGGAGAACGCTTTCCACACGAATACGAGAACATATTCCAGCATGGTTTTTACAAGGGAGGAAGGAAAGCTGTGCAAAGTTCTATTCTATAACACTTGATCGACTGCTGTCACTCTACGAATCCTGATCATGATTTTGAGATTATCTATATAATCTATGCGTTTTCTTCGTTATAAACTTCTAAAGACAACGGAGACCTTGGCCATTGATGAATTTAAGCCAGGCGTTTGTGTACAAAGGAAGTATGTACAATCCCTACTTCCACCTTAGCGATAGAGGGACAGACATTTATTTTGTTTATTTAGTCAATCAACGTACCTTTCCCTCATTACCACGATTATCATTATTGGTTGGAGGATTTCATCATGAGCTGATATCAGTTAGAGAACCACTGGAAGAACTGATGTAATCCTCCAACCAATCAAAGTAAATCCCTACAAAAACCAATACTTGAAGATTATTGTTATTATTATTACTGCTCTCACTTTGAATTGTTTCCACTTGTCCCACTTGTCATTCTAAATCCAAAAATGTTTTTTACAATATTTAATTCTGTCTTATCAAATTTAACACCATGTTATGTAACGTTTTATATTAGCCTACTAACTCTGTTATTATACACCCCTTTCCAACATCTATACATCTTATGAATTATTCGGTATATGGCATTTACTGTTTTGCTACTTGACATTTAACTATGATCATAATCACAAATATTTTAATTTCATTTCACACTACTATTATTATTTCATGTATTCACACCTTTGATCTAATTCCTGCACCGGATCTAATTTCTTTAAAAAACCATATATACAGCTTGGTAATAAATTCGTTGGCAAGAATCTCTTCGCTGAATATTGTGTTGTTAATATTTATATTAAAAATTGTTTAACAAATTTATATAAACTAGAATCGCTCGGGAGGGATTTGAAAAAGGTTACTTCATTCACTTATCTAGGGAGCATTGTCTCAACTACAGGAGGAACGGACGAGGATGTCAAATCGACAATCGGGAAGGCGAGAAACACATTCATCAACCTGAAACCAATCTGGAAATCTTCGTCATTCAACTCATCATCAACAACAAAATTCAGATTTTCAATACAAACGACGTCAAGTCAGTTCTTCTATACGGATCAGAAACTTGGCCAGTGTGTCACAAAGAATATTTCCAACAGCCTGTTGCAGACCTTTATCAACAACTGTCTTCGTTCTATAATGAAGATCAGATGGCGGGAAAGAATCACCAACAAGAAACTGTGGGAACAAACAAAACAAGAACCAATCGCCCAACAAATATGCAAGAGAAAGTGGAGATGGATTGGACACTCACTGAGGAGGCCGTTGGGTGACATCGCGCGTCAGGCCATCACTCGAGTGGAACCCGAAAGGGAAGCGGCGAGTGGGACGTCCAAGGATGACATGGAGGAGATCGTGTGAAGAGGAGTTGAAACAGTATGGACTAACATGGATGCAAGTGAGAAGTACAGCAGAAGACAGAAGCAAGTGGAGACGTGCAGCTGAAGCCCTATGTTCCACTAGGAACCCAAGGGAACAGTAATAATAATAGAATCGCTCGAATATCAACAAATACATTAAAAGTTTTATGCGGAGTAGAATATTTCACTCATTTTCCGGCAATTCTTTTAATACCAAATAGAGCTTACATTTAATTTTCCGGCAAATAGACAAGAGCTAATTAGTTACAGTATTTCTGGGTATTACTATTTATGTAATACTAATACCTAAAGCTTATTCATACTGTCATATGACTTTCAAAACTATTAGTCCCTTCAGTCTCGTCAGGTGTTCTCTACTTCTTCACTATCACTGTATCTCTTAATATTGGTTTTATATGAAATGCTGCATTCTTGTTTCTGCTCTCTGTTCACTTGCTTACTGAAATACTGCCTCGAGTGGATATATTTATTTTGTATAAGATTTCCTAATTCAAATACAGCATGCATGTTTACCTCTTTATTAACCTTCATCCTACCTCAGAGTCAAGTTTCTATTTTTACCTTGTTTAATCCAAAAGTATAAAGTCTTTGCAATCGCATTAGTGACCACAGCTTTCTATGTATGATGAAGTTTAAGGCTTCATATTATTAACAATAATATTTGGCTACCGTTTATTTTTGGTGTTTACGGATGGATACAGTGTATACAATCAGACAACCAGATTGTTAGAGAAATTCATACTTCAAAATGTAAGCGGAGTTAGAAACACGCCAGCCAATTTCACAAAGAAGCAATCGAAAATCAACTAGACGGATTGAACTATTTCACAACCCTTCAGAATACACTCAAGATAATAGTTGGAATTTTGATAAAATCTCTGGAGGTTAGGATATCGGTTGTAAATACTTACATATGCTGCATGGATAGGTTGTCTGGAAAATGAATCAAGCAGTTATTTCGTAAATAGCTAGATGGAATGGGCTATCCTCTCACACACATACACCATTCACCATGTACATATATATCATCTTTCCTTTTATAAATATACTTTTACTTTCCGTCTCACCCCGTGCCGTGATCTCGCTTAAGTAGCGGGCTTGGAAATTAGGTAGCTGTTTGATAAGTTGCTGGAATAGATGAGCAATATCTGCGATCACCACGTCTATACAATTTCGTGTGTTCCTACTTCCAAATCACTCCGTTATGCAAAATATAAAAGTAACGATGGAGATGTTGAATTCTTCGAAGTTGAACAAATTTTGTGAACAACAAATGGAATTTACCGAGTTGCTCAAGCACTCAAAAACTTCCGGTAGTGAATCGTACCAGACCAATTCTGCTCTTATAGCCCCTCCCCCTTCGGTAAATGGAAATACTAAAAGCATTACCGAATTCCACTACGATCCTGATGCAAATATTACATTTGACACTTGATCCAGGAGGTATGGGGATGATTAATTTAAAGTGGATTTTACTGAGTAAGATGATTCTTTGAAGGTGCATCTGCTGCTTCGAAAACTGGGTCCATCGGAATCCGAACATTATAGTAATATAATATTACCTCAAAATCCAAGCAACCACATATTGTATGCCACATTGCAGATGTTAGGAGAAAATTGTGGTGATCGGTTGTCCTTTCTCAGTGTTCGTTATGGGTGTTTCAAACTAACCATGGACAAGTACGATGACTTCCTCGTGTACGTTGGCATTTTCAACCGTGAATATGAAAGATTTGAATTGGAATGTTTGACGGAAGACCAATTTAAATCACTAATTATTGTTTGCACCTTACAGTCCCCCAAGTTTACCGATATCAGGATTAGTCGGCTGAACCTCTTGGAGAGAGTGAGCCAACTGTAACGCTAAATAACATCACGTCCGAATATCAACAACTGGTCAACCTTTAGACTGATACCAGTCTAGTCCTATCTGGACGCCAGGGTAGTAGTGAAATCTGTGCAGTTTGCCAGACTTGACAAACTTCCGTATCAACACTTATCGAAGCACACTAGGGATTATGATAAAATGTTAGCAAAATTTACTCGTCATAACTTTTCTTTCTTGAGTTAATCATTTTATTTATTTAGTTTTATTCTTTTGTGTTCCAAGTGAAACACAGTGCTTCAGACTAAAGCTTTGGAGTTTCGGTAGCAGTGGTTTTATTTTCACGGGATAGGGTTACTAGCCTGATGCTCAATCTTCCCTCTTTACCGGTTTTACTACCGGTTACTGAGGTGTAGGAGTGCGTCACCTGGACGACGTGCATCCCTGGGGAGCGTTCTACCTCTGTACCACCGACTCAACTCAGTTAATTACACAATGTGAAAACTACTGTTTTCATTATTCTATAAAACAAAGCATCAGATAATTTTCAGTTGTTATTGACCAGAGGAGAGTTTAATATATCACATTAAACCAGAATTTGCTAGCGGATAATGTAGTTGTTTGGCAGTGAGAATATTACACCTAAATTTATTGGTATTTAAATGATCCTGATTTCTTATATTACACTTTGATTAAAGTTAAGGGAATTGAAAAAAAACTCCGATAGAATTCAGGGGTTAAATCACATTGACGTCAGAAACTACTACGAAATATTAAAATCACAATCCATAAATGTTAAGTTAGGTAATACTTTACGTCAGAAATTAATTTCCTGACAATATTCACTACTAACTGATAAGTTGTTAATCTTTGCTTACACTTAATTCATTAGATGGCTGGTTTACAATGGCTTGATTTGAGAGGAAACAATTTGGATCTACGTTGTGTGCAGGATTTATCCGGGTCTCTTCGAGGTTTTCCTACAGAAGGAACTACAAGACGGATTGTAAAAAAACAGCACTACATATATTGCTATTCACAACCTGCGGGTTCTTGTAAATCACGCGGCAGAGGTCTTCTTGAAGTTAACAGACATTCATCTTGTTCAGATCCGTTTTATAGTTTCCGAAAAACACCAAGTGCTTCTTCTTCTTTTTCTTCTCCTCGTGGTCTACATTTGGGTAATACAGGTGTCAATGGAGAATTATTACAATCACTAGCACCAGGATTACGTTTGGGTTGTATTACTGATCTCCGTTTGCCTAACAATGGAATAACTGGAGGTGATGCTAAATTTCTTGTCCCTTTACTGCGATATAGTGTACATCTCAAATATTTAGATCTCAGTGCAAATTTTCTTGGGGTAAGTCTTCAATATTTATATATATCGCTTTATGTCACAAGAATATTATATTTTTATGCATATTAACTGATCATCATTGCTTTCGGAAGTGTGCTAATGAAAAGATACATTTGTCGATTCAGTAGTAGAATACTCGCCAACCGCGCCTTACGCAGTAATTGATTCTATTCCCAGCCGATGCTCTTGTAAACATTGCCTAGCCGGTAATAAACGCGATATAGAGGGGGGGAGGTTGGGAGCCAGACTAGTAACTCTACCCTCTTAAAAAACAACTTCGTTGCTACTGAAACATCATAGCTGAAGCACCGAGCCCTATCCTTCACTTGGAACTCAGATTAATGGAAACAATAACAACTGAAAAGGCAATCTATTTTTATATGACATTAGTGAAACAGTATATAGCCTATATTTTGTACTTGTTGTACAGTTTCTAAGACAATACAGCAAATCTCGTGTTGTAAGGTTGTAAGTGACTCAGTGTTAAGGGAAGAAACAGTGCTGGTAATTTTGATTTAAGTTATAGCGATGAGTATAAATGCTTTTATCAGATCACACTGTTTCAATTGTTTGGCAAACACTTATGGCAGAAATCTTTATTACTATGCTTTATGTGGTCAGCATAGTTATCCCGACATAACCACTGCTGGATCGCAAAGTCGGTCGGTCGGTCGGTTTTCGACATAGAACTTTGCACATATGTGCGGCAGTTCAAGTCGCCACACTCCATGAAGCACACAAAGCAAGAGAAATTAGAAGAACTGCATAATAGAGACAGTAAACAGAGGTGTGAGACAAAGGAATAGTAATAACGAAGAACGATATAGTTTCATTTGAAATCATAAATTACAACGAGTGGATGCATCTGAGCCTTTGAGAACGATTTTGAGCCATGTCACCAATTGTTCCTAACCATTGGTTTTTACCGTCCCGAGGACCCCAACCAGTCAGGAAGTCTACACCTTCCTACGTGGCTTAGACTAACTGTTGTAGATTTCATTGACTGATGAAGCGATGTTTTGGTTTGACCGCCGCTAGCTAACTCTTTTCCAGTCTGACCCTATATCAGCTAATATTGCCCGTCGAGGAAGGCGATGACTAGGCATACGTAGCACATGTCCTAACCATCTCAGTCGATGTAATTTCACAGTCTCGTCGACTGATTTCCCCTCCTTACCTAGCACTCGACCGATGCCTAACCTCAATATTGCTCACCTTAATATACCGCTTCACACGGGAGATAGAACGCAGACACCTATGATCGAGGACAGCTAATCTCTTCATGTCTTCTGCTCTCAATGGCCAGGTCTCACAGATAGCCATAAAGGAGGACGGAGCGGACTGTTGAGCAGTATACACGCCCTTTGGTCGATAGTCGGATGTCACGTCTACGCCAGAGACGGCGTAAACTGGCATATGCGAACCTAGCCCTCTGTATTCGTGCTGAGATTTCGTCGAAGATCAACCCGTTGGGGCTGATGGTACTTCCCAACTAAGTGAAGCGGTCAACATGCTCTACCACTTCACTTCCTATTTCTAATCTAGATGTCGGTGAAGTCCAATCTTGCAGCATCATCTTACATTTTACAGGATTGCAAAGTACTTATTGTTCCAAGTGTTGGTTGCCAAGGGTTTGACTGATTTCAACTTTGATCACAAAATGGTCGAAGTCAGAGGACCACTGAAAACTAACAGGGAAGATCAGACATCTGCCTCATAATTTCTTGGGACTCTTCATCAGTTCTCGTCCATGACCTCATCTGGCATCGAACCTAGGGCCTTCAAGTGACAAGACGAACTCGTATACCATCCAGGGGTCCAGTGGCCCATCTGTTGCAACTTCTGCCAATTCGAGTTACATAGCGCTCGTCTGAGGGTGAATTTGCTTGCTTTCTTGATTACCGTCTGTAGTATCAAGCAGATCATATACTGTGATCTGAATAATTTCGATTTCCAAAGGAGACTATGGTGAGGTACCTCACATCTTCGAACTGTGTATACTGCAGATGGATAACCAGTTTGCAAATTTCTAATTTAGTAATATAGACTGACATTTTTCCGATATTCTTTAGCCTAAAAAAGTCACTAAACCAAAAGCCAGATTGAATTAGGTCATTTTAGATCATATATGGATTTTGAGATTTAACATAACACTTGTTTTGAATTTGAACTCTTTTGAAATGTGGTAATAATCTAATATTTATGAACTTAAATTTGATTTCATGTGAGTAATTAAAAGCTGTCAAGTGAATACCGCTAGACATACTTAATAATCATTCTACAATAAAATGACTTACTGGCTCTTAGGTTATCCCGTAATTCCCTGCTGACTGATTAAGTTGAACCGAAATTCTCGGCCCCTGTTGACATGTTGGCTCCTAATACGGATACTTCGACGATATCTTAGGACTAAGGTGAAGTTATTTTGTTTGATGGTAACTGGCACAAAAATCCAGGACGTGCATGTCAACAGGGACCGTGGAATTCGGGACGGCGTAATACAGATTAACCTAAAAACGAATAATAACTGGTACCCAGTGCTCAAGAGGTGGCTCCGGTGGCACTAGTGGCCCAATGGATAGCGCTTTGATGTTTGAAATGATGACTGCAGGCTTCGGATCTCAGTGGGAGCATCATCAGTCTTTTTGAATGAAGGTACATCCCGACGAAGCGTCCCAATCAGGACGAAGTACCGCTAGGCTTCATTAACTGAAGCGATTTACTGTTTTGCAACTTGCTACCAATGAAGATAAAAAATTCACCTAATATTGCTGTTTTCTTTAAAATAAACAAACCAAGATAGCTAAGTCGCATATTTCACAATGGCTAACGGTGAAATCCAAGACGGGTGCCCCGTTCCTTTAGGCACTTATCAACTGGAATCTCTTCTTTCCAATGAGTGTTGATTCTTCCACTGAGAATCGAACGTTTATACAAGCGGTGACTATCGTGATCTAGTGGATAACCTTCTGGCGCTTGAAATGCTGTAAACAGATTTCGAGTCTCAGGATGAACATATGGCCTGCTAGCGAGTCTAAAATAGGTCGAAACTCATTTCCAGCATCCCACCACTAACTTTCACAATATGTAAAGTTTCGAGTTGCTAACTCTAACAGCATCCATTCAAGCAGCTCATATGTCGAAGTGAGACTAATCAACTCTCGTCAGATATATTGGCAGGAAATCACCAACAGAGACAATCTCAAAGCGTAATAATGCTTAGTTAATTCCCTCACATATAATTCAAGGTTGTTTATAATTTATTTCAACATTTAATATATTTTGATTAACTCAGTTGTTTCCTTTTGTTCGAAAACAGATAGAATGATCTTATAGTTTTATAGTGTCGGTCAATAGCGCTTATTTTAAAAAGTTCAGATAACTTATAGGCGATTCGTCTTTTAATAGATAGATAGTTCTATTCAGTAAATATAAATATATTCACTGATTTAGAAACAAGTATAACTGATCGTAAACTAGGTAACACCATGAAAAGTTAATAACTTCGACCTTAACTATCCGTGTAAGTATTCCGCGAAGAATCACTCTATTGACTCTACTTTTATATTAGTAGGGATACTTTGTTACCTAGCTAACATCAAAATACCCATTGTATAGTATATTTGCTTTGATTTTTATGTACTGTATTGCTATGCTTTAGAAGTACTGAATAGTTATCTCAACTTTAGTTGGCCTATTTCTATTACTGTGAGTGTGTCTAAATTATCAGATAGAAAAAATAAATACATCCAATAAATAATAATGATATCTAATTCTGTCTTATGAAATCAGTCTGTTAGAGCTGAACAAGATCATACTATTCTTGGCCTTCTACATTGATATTTTATTATCATTATTATTCCCTTGGGTTCCAAGTGGAACGTAAAGCTTCAGCAACACTTATCCACTTTTTTCTATTTCCTGCTGTTCTCTTCATCTGGCTGACCCAACGACTGCCCATGATCTTTCCTCCTTCATGTTACCCTCACACCGACGACCCACTCGTCGCTTCCTATTGGGATCCCAGGACCTTCTGGTTACAAGGCGTGCGAGCTCGTAGACCATTGAACCACTGGGAGTCGATCCAATGGCCAGTTCATGAGTTCTAAATTCTGCCAATTCATGACATAGCGCGACCATTTCGCAATGTCTTCTTCGATGAGTTACTGCCTCACCTTCAACCTGCTGTACCCTACTGGTCACGGCTTCCCACTAGAACCCCAGGTTAACTGCCTGAATAGGGCCAGTTGCTAGTGAACATCAGATTAACTTTCAAGTATTGGTTTCGTGGGGATTTTTTGTTTGATTGGTTGGGGGATTTCATCATGAGCTGACATCAGTTAAAGAACTATTGGAAAACGTACTGCTAAAGAGTCCCAAACTAGGACGAAACGGCTGTCCAGTACTCCCAGGTTTTCCAATGGTTATAACTCATATCAACTCATGATGAAATCCCTCATCTAACTTTTCATTCTAAATTACTGTGTCAATAAGTTTCTCGCTTTAAGATCAAAGTTGGAGAAAACGACTCAGTTATTCGAAAAAACCTCATGACATCCACCGATCGCATACCTATTTCAGCAGTACAGAGAAGAAAGCAGATCTGTAATGTATTCGACAAGATACTCTTTAGGCGACACACCAATATTCGCATAATCGTCAGTGTATTTGTTTGTATACACTCGAAGAACTTGACATTTGTGCCGACATTTTCGCATCGTGAATAATGAATCAAAATAATCCTTAGGAGCTAATAATATCGCTTAATTGTTTTGACCGAAACACGTATTAATTCTAGTTTAAGCTAAGACCCTTGCAATACTTCTCACATATTATTTAATCACCTGGATAATGTATATCTGGCGTTTTGGCGTATAACCATCTCTTCTGAAATGTGTGACATATTCGTGCTTGACTAATCATAAATATCAAACTGAAACTAAAAAATGGTTTATTCCAGTTGTCAGCTACGCTTAGTTTAGTTCTCTCCTTAAAATGATATT